TTTAAGCTGGATTTTTCAGCAGGGTAAGTGTATTCTTGTGCTTTATTGGGGAAGAATCGGAGGCAGTGTATATTGATCAAATATAAAGTACTTGAAGATGCTTTACGCTTTTCATAGAAACAGAAAATGGAATTCAAACACTTATTACACGGTTAGCACAAATATCTAATGAACCAATCACATGGCAGCAGCTCAATGCATTTAGGCATGTAGACATGGTCAAGAGGATCTGCTGCAGTTCAAAGTGAGCATCAGAATGGGGAAGAAAGGGGATTTAAGAGACTTTGAATGTGGCATGGTTGTTGCTGCCAGACGGGCTGCTCTGAGTATTTCAGAAACTGGTGGTGTAATGGTGTGGGGGGTATTTTCTTGGCACACTTTAGGTCCATTAGTACCAATTGAGCATCAACGCCACAGCCTACCTGAGTATTGCTGCTGACCATGTCCATCCCTTTATGAGCACAGTGTGATATATTGATGTTTGCATTTTTGTATTTGAAACAATAGGGACTCCGTAGTACGGAAGTAGTTGATATAGTTCTGGCAGTTTCGGTTGAAAGCAGAAAGTAAAGCTGTTGCTTAATACGGACGCTCCGACTCAAGTGTATCTTTTACAGTCAGATATATCACAGTAAAAGTTGGCGACGAGGATAAACTAATGCTCGGATGATGGCACTCATTGGAAGTATAGGGGAATTTGCTCCGAAAGCAGAATCTTGGTCGGCCTACATTGAACGGCTGGAACAGTTCTTTGTGGCGAATGAGATAAGCCAGGAGAAGCAGGTTGCAACTCTCTTGAGCGTGATGGGGGCAACAACCTATGGTTTACTGAGGAACTTGGTACAACCAGAAAAGCCAAAGGATAAGTCGTACAAAGAAATTGTCGACACCTTAAAGAGTCATTTTGAACCAAAGCCGTTACTGATTGCCGAAAGATTTCGTTTTAATCATTGCAATCAAAGAGCCGATGAAACAGTTACGGAATATGCAGCGGAGCTGAAACAGTGTGCTGTGAGTTGTGAGTTCGGGGCAACGCTGGATGAAGCATTGCGTGATCGATTCGTGAGTGGAATCCGCAACGAAGCCTGCCAGCGACGGCTGTTGTCAGAATCTAATCTGACGTTTGCACGAGCGTTCGAAATCGCATTAAGCATGGAGACAGCTGAGAAAGACACGCAGCAGTTGCGAGGGCATGACTCGCACTCGAGTGTTGTACATAAGGTGGAAGTGCGACCTTTCAGTCAACGAGAGAAAAAGTGCTATAGATGTCATGGGAAAAATCATAGCGCTCAGGTATGTCATTTTAAGGATGCAAAGTGCCATAACTGCGGAAAAATTGGGCACATTAAGAGAGCATGCAGAGGAAAGATGGAAGTTGGAAAAAGGAAATTGTATGCAGAGAAG